ATAAAAAGTTCATATGTAGGAACCTTTGATCGTACACATCTTTTCCGCAGGTGGACTGTGTTGGTGCAACATTCAACGGCGTCACTGTCGTCACTTCCGCCCCACGTGAAACGCTCAGTACATGTGAGGAGTCGTCGCCACATACATACACACACAGCAGGCTTCTTCATGTTTACAGGCAACTAGATCACATATTCTCATTTTATGATTGTCGATACCAGGACTATGGAGCCACTAGAGGAGGAGGCGCTGCTCGGACAGGAGTCAGAGGAGGAAAACAGTGAATTATCAGACGATGAGGTGAGTGAGGTGTTTTCATGTTAACATTGGCTAACGTTAGCCAGCCGAAGCTAACAACTGTAAAAACTGCTCCGGACTCAAAAACGTCGTAGTTTTCATTTATGCAAAAATGTACAGATGAGACAGACTATGATATACTTAACTCTTGTTTTTCTTTAGCTCCAAGAAGCCTTTTCAAAGGGATTGTTGAAACCAGGGATGAATGTTCTGGTGGATAAACCAAAAAAGTTTGTCAACAATATGGTGAGTGAATTCATAATAACAAACTTTAAATGTTGAAATTCTTGTCCAGCTTTGGCCTTGATGAGTGGTTAGTTAAGGCATGTGGGAAAGAAAACATGCTTTATATACGTACATGAACTGACTATTGTAATAAAAATAATAATAGAACTAATTTTGTACTACAATAACAATCGTGGTACTTAACATATTTGATGATGCACTGTATGTTGTGATGCAGGAGGGTTTGAAACAGTGCCTTGCTGACTTCTGTAAAGACCTTCCCTGGGTGGAGAGGTTGGACCTAACCAACCCGCCAGCTGAAGACGTTCTTTTCAAAGTAGAAGGGAAAGTTCCAAGTCTGACCAATGGAGACGTCAATGCTGACGATGATTTCCAGAGGGAGATGTTCTTGTGAGTACCTGTAACTTGATGTGTAGTTTGTTGAAAATGTTTTGTTGTCAAACTATTTTTGACACATCAATCTCACCACAAGGTCCACTGAGTAGCTGCTCTGAAGCTTTTGATTATCATCATGGGATCTTCCTCAGCAGATGGAATTTCCCAGTTGTCATGGAATTGTAGATGTTCAGAGTTACCTTTTTTCCCCAAGCACTTTAAGTACTTCTAATCCACGCTGGTTTAAAGGTTTAAATTAAAAATGTAGTCTTCAATCATATCATGTCACTGTAATTGTTGTTGGTATCACTAATCACAATTTAAATAACTGTCAATTGATAATTTAGTTCAGTTGCTTCTTCATCTAAACTAAATTTCTCAGTACTAAAACAACAGAGAGTGTATCTTTATTCTGTGTGTTTGCTAACTTACAGCTATCGTCAAGCTCAAGCTACAGTCCTGGAGGCACTGCCCCTTTTAAACAAGCATGGCATATCCACCAAAAGACCTGACGACTATTTTGCAGAGATGGCCAAGTCAGACCAGCACATGCAGAAGGTGAGCGGTTTCATTACAATGGTCTTGACTCTTACCAGATGACACAGCAAAACAACACATTGAGAGCTCTTAATTCATATAATTATAGTCGCACACAAATAACAAAAGAGCTTTGCTGAAAGACCTACAGCTGGTTTCTCCTAGTTGTTAAAATGTAGACCAAAAATTTCAACATAATTCTATGTCTTTACATAGACACCGTAACACTTCAACAGATATGTTCTAACATTACTGTAAATATCTTGTTGGATGATGTTGTCTTCTTCCCTTCTTTAATTTATGTCTAATCAGTATGGGCAGTTGACATTTTATTGCACAAATTGATTCAGGAACTGAGCATGGTTGCCATTAATCCAAATATTGGCGCAAATAAAAAAAATTCTCTCCCTATGTCCAGATTAGGACAAAGCTCATCTCAAAGCAGCAGATAATAGAGAAATCGGAGAAAGCAAAGAAACTCCGCGAGCAAAGGAAGTTTGGTAAAAAGGTTGGTATCTGTTTACTGCTGTTACTGTTACTACTCTTATTGGATTACTTTTACCTTGTTGTTGGATAGAATATGGAGTAGAATGTAAACAATGTTGTCTACTTTACATCACCCTGCTACATGTGGTGTTATGGGGTCCCTTCTTAAAAATACCCTTTTAACATGTAGGATATAATGTGACCTAGAGGTCTACCTTTGCACTGTTGTTCATTGATGTGTAATGTTAATAGAAAGTATGCAAAAACAGATACTATACCAGCATCTTTGCCTGTTTTATTAGAGACTTCTTTATAAAGGACTAATACTTTTGGTGCAAATAATTAATATGAATTTTTTATGTGTGCCAGGTCCAAATAGAAGTAATCCAGAAGAGACAGAAAGAGAAGAAAGCTATGATGTCTGCTGTAAAGAAATACCAGAAAGGTGAGGTTTTTTTTAGAAGAGTGGCCGTTCTTCAGTTTTTGTTTTTTTATAACTTTCACTGCACACACAAAGGTGAAAAATGTGCTTCTGTGTCATTTATTGTGCATGGGGGGTATAAAGGGTTCATGATCCACAAAATTGTTGTGTGAGAGTCTTTTCAAATTGAGATTTAAGATTTCTGATCACACCCACTCCTAGGAATGAGTGACAAACTGGATTTCTTGGAAGGAGACAAAAAGACGGGTAAAGACTCTTCTCAGGGCCCCAAGAAAGCGTTGAACAAGAAGGGGTAAGGTGTTACATTTCAGCTGTGTGCACACATAAAAGCAAGTATACTGTTGTTTCTGTTCATCTTAAAGCTAGACTTCTACATATCTGCTCAAATATTCTGGGTCATCCTTTTGAGTCAAGTTTTCAAGCTGTGTATACTAAATAGATGTAGTTGCTAATATTACATCAGGCTCATCTCATATTTTATTTGAAGTATATCAACTTTTGCCTTCAGACGATTTTGAGTCCCATAGGCTTGACTGAGCAGACCACAGAACTCTTTTGCTTCTCAGTCTGTCAAACTGCTAAATCAGAGTTTGGGTTCTCAGTAGGGGTCGACCAATAATCAGCCTGGACAACACTGACTATTGTGCAGATGTAGTCAATAGAACGAGCGACCCACTACACTGCAGCCCCTCCCCTCCCTCCCAGCAGAGCTCCGCACACACACACACGTGAGCGGAGATCACTGTAGATTACACCAGTTGACCATAACTACGCTCATTACTGTAAATAAGTGCAGCAAAACCAGCAGTACTGCATCATTTACATTTACAATTATTCATTTAGCTGACGCTTTTATCCAAAGCAACTTACAATTGCTATTAAGGTCAGAGGTCGCACGCCTCTGGAGCAACAAGCGGTTAAGTGTCTTGCTCAAGGACACATTAGTGGGGGTTCCCAGGTTCAATTCCCATCTGCACCAAGCACTATATTAATCTACTGTCTCATCCACCGCAGCTGTGGAGAAAAAAAACTAAAACAAATATATGTGTGTGTCTATATATATCTATATATCTATATATATATCTATATATATATATATATATATTTTTTTTTTTTTAAAGGCAATTAGTAATGCCTAGTAATGAAAAACCAATAAGATTATAGATAAAGAACAGAACCAATAAATAGTATAAATAAATGTATCAATAAAATCCTAACAATATACAATAAATACAAGATAAATGGCAGCAGGTAAAGACAAAGTTTATGATAATTTATCACTCATAGTTAACAAATCCATCTCTGGGATAGATCTCTAATTCATTTAATTTAGTATTTTAAAGATTAAACATGACAATTAACTTTAATCTTGTTATTTTCAACAAAAATTCAACAAAGTGTTGGAGTTTGTGTTAATCAAAATTCTGACACCAAGATTACATTTTTATTTTTATTTTTTACAGCAAATGTATATCAGGACCACATATCGGCCATCGGTGTAATTGGTTACTAATGATCAGGATCGCCCCAGAAAAAAACACATCAGTCGATCCCTTTTTCTCAGTAGGCCTCATTGTTCGGTGTATACTAAGCACTGAATGTAAAAAGGAGCTATTAAACACACATTCACATATTTGTACTGTGTAAATATGTCTGTATTTGTTTTGGTGTATTTTACACTGTACATCTTGGGATGCAAGACACATTTCAGAAAAATATTCAGATTATAAAGTCACTTCAAAACAAACTGATGATGTTTGTGGCATTTTCACAAAAAAGATACATTTTTTCCTGTTATTTTGACAGCTCCAATGCCAAGAGAAAATACAAGGACCAGAAGTTTGGCTTTGGGGGCAAGAAAAGTGGAAAGAAGTGGAACACCAAGGAGAGTTTCAATGATGTTTCCAGTTTCCGCGCCAAAGTGGCTCATGCAAAGGGCGGCAAAGGAGGGAAGAAAGGCAAAGGAGGACAAAATGTGAGTCACACACACATAAAACACTGCTGACTTGATTTAATAAATGTTGACAATTTGCCAAAGAAAATTATTAAAAAAAACATAGTGCTCTTTATTGAGAGAAGCTCAGTTTTTTCCATTTTGTTTTTCAGAAACGCCCAGGCAAGTCGGTACGCAAGAAGATGAAGTCTCGCTCATAAAAACTGACACAGGCAGGTCAATAGGTTGGATTTAAACCTTTCTTCTAGGCAGGATCTGCCCACTTGCTCCCCAGTCTCTCATCCATATACATCAGGAGCCATTTAGGAGAACATGGGCTTTTATTCTACACTTTTTGTACTATATGCCTTCAGTAAATGTCTGGATTGATATGGAGGGACCCTTCAAGCCACAGACAGAGACACCTTCTGCCATCTACATATAGGAAGCCGTATGAAGGACATGACGGGAGTAGAAATGGTAAACCCAAGAGTTGACTACATAGAGCTACCCAAACCACAAAGTAGTGTTCCAAAAAAAAGAGTATCTGAATGTTACGGAAATAAATGTCTGTTCTTTATTATAGACCAGTTTTTATGTTCTATGGACATAATTGTTTCTCTCTATACCTATTTGATAAAGTGGTTTTAAAGCAACTTTCCGTGATCACACCTCAATATCTACACCAACCTTCTTGCCATCTAATTTATGCTGTGTGCTCCAAAGTGTTTAGTGTCTTCTTTTTTCTAGCTCAGCTCCTTGACTCATTTCTCTCCCATGTGACATGACATTTTATAATATTGAGCAGCTGTTAGTTTTGCCCTTTCCCCACATTAATATGATAAGTATGCGATGGACAAGTGTGCTTCGTATAGACCTGTGTAAATGTTTCCCCTGCAAGTGTTTTTCTTAGCTTGCTAAGATGGAAATGAAAAAGGGCAGCTTCTGGCGATGACAACTTTGTATGATTAAAAAATCTGAACATAGCTGCTCACTTTTTGTAGATTTACATTCTTTCTGTCTTGGTCTAATTTGATGAACGCAGAGCAGATTCTTTGTGTCCGGTGATGTCCGAGATGACTCTGTAGAAATTTAATCTCTTGTCACTGCGGTTTGATGGGATCTGGGGGCGGGAACATAATGGACAGAATCAGCATTCTGGCAACAAAGTTGGATTTAAGTGATCATTACATAAAACCAGAAAACAAATGCTCATTTTTGTGCAGTATTTGCAATATTCAAAACTCATGATCTCAGTCTTCTTTTTTTGAAATTAATAAATGATTCCTTGAAATAGTATCAGTACTCATATTGTTTACTTGCGTAGAAATGCCCCCGTATGTAAAACTCAACATCATTGTAAGATTACCAAAATGAGTTACTATACATAAAGCTGTGCACACAAATCTTTTCATGTTTCATCTCAAACAAAACCCATAACAATATCGATTTATTTTAAAACATACGGTGACACTGGGACTTAAATCATCTAAAAACTTAAAAAGTAATTACTTTTATAACATCTTCTAATAATAATAATCTTTATTTGTAGAGCACTTTTCAAAAACAAGTTACAAAGTGCTTTAACAAGTGTAGAGACAATAATACCCCAAAAACAGTAATACAAGTAATACAAGATAAAAGCAAGAAATTGACATTGAAAAGACTAAAATACATGTTTAAGATAAATATAAAATAAGTACAATAGAATAAAATAAAAGGGATAAAATAAAGTCAAACAAATTGGGAAAGGCTTTTTCTTATAAAAGTATGTTTTAAGAAGGGACTTAAAAGAGTTCACTGACTCAGCCGACCTGATTTCCTCGGGCAGGCTGTTCCAGAGCCTCGGGGCCCTGACAGCAAACGCTCAGTCGAGACTCTGGAACAGACAACAGACCTCTGCCCGAGGATCTCAAGGTACGTGCTGGTGTGTATGGGACTAAAAAGTCAGAAACAAGGCGAGAGGCCATGAAGAGGTTTAAAACTGATCAATAAAATTTTAAAGTCAATTCTAAAACATACTGGGAGCCAGTGTAATGAAGCTAAAATAGGAGTAATGTGGTCATATTTCTTTGTTCTGGTTAAAAGCCTGGCAGCTGAGTTCTGGACAGTCTGGAGTCGATCAATAGATTTTTGGGATAAACAAGTGAAAAGGCTGTTGCAATAATCCAGGCGTGATGAGATGAAGGTGTGTAAAATGGTCTCGGTGTCCTTAAAAGTTAACATAGATTTCTAAGTTGATAAAACATGATTGAACAAGCTTTGTGGTTTGCTGCTCGAAATTTAAATTACTATCAAACCAGACACCAAGGTTCTTTGCAACAGGCTTAATGTGATTTACTAGGGAACCAGCAGATGGCAGTATTTGTTTTGCCGTCTGCTGGGACCCGATGACCAGGATTTTGAGTTCAGCTGGAGGAAATTATTTGACATCCGTTTTTTAACTTCACAAAGGCAGTCGGTAAGTAAACTCAGCATTCCAGGGTCTGTGGATCTGACGGGCAAGTACATTTGTGTTTCATCAGCATAAATATGAAAAGAAATACTATGTTTTCTTGTCTTCATTCTCCCTATTTTAGAAATACTTTTCAGGGACAGAAGGCTATATCATTGAATTTAGGTCATCTTGCTAAAATGCAGGCTCTCTGCTCACAATGCCACCGCAATGTCCTGCAGTATGTTTAATGATTCTGATCAACTTTTTCCTCACCAGTGGAGTTGACACCCATCCTATCTCCTGATTCTCAGTCTGTGGCATTTTATATTTCTTGGTAGGCTCCTGGCGCGCCTTGTGGAAGGCCTCGATAAAGTCAGCTAGATAAGAGAAACTTATATGCATTATCAGTAATACAGATACGATAGTCTTATTTATCCATAATAGAAGAGAAGAGGAAAACATTTATTTAATTTATTTTCAACTAAATCAATGTAAACTTACTGTTGTCTGCAATCACTTCTGTTGGTTTCCTAGACATGGGTTTGTCTGGCAGGACATGCACTGAGAGGCAGTAGACACACAAACACACACAAGATTGTGAGAAAAAAAGGCAACATACAGTGCAGCAATGTAGCTGTACACAGTTTAGTGTACAAAAAGTCAGGTTCCTTGTATGTGAACAGTACACACACTTGGCCAATATAGCTATTTTATCAGACATAATGGCATAAATTGCCAGATATGGTACATGGTGTAACGTTTTATATAAATAAATATGTGTTTTATGTTATGGTACTTTGTCATTTATCCTCTTTTGCAAGCAAGGAATTTCATTCCAACTTGTTCACATTTGGATCCCAGGCAGTGCCTTTATAGTTCTCCGATTTTATTTCCATTTTCTATTCTCTGAGCACTACAAACAAAAATAAAATCAATTTAATAGTCGTCTAGTGTTAGTCCCTGCATTAATGAGACCGAGTGAGAGACAAAATTCCCATCCTTGAAAAGAAATTTTACTAGATACAAATTTCTTGCGTGTGAACACACACACAGTCTCCTTTAGATCCACTTATATCTGTGGCTAAAGAAAAAAGACAGCAGCTGAAAGAGGACAGACTTAGCCTACATTTCCTGTGTGGGTTGATGCTGAATTCCGTGTGGAGTTTCTGGTGTCTTTGCTCTTTCCGGATCGTCTCAACGTGAATAGCGTTTTGATGGACCAAATCCCGTTTCTCGTTCGCTGCCATGCTGAAAAACAGATTAAAAAATCAGCAGTGATACCGACAGCTGGCAAAATAAAGGCGCTCTCTGACGGGTACGAGTTTATACCTGATTTTTATGCGTGTTACCAAGCAACAGTAAACAATGCCTCGCGCTGCAGTACGGTGCCTCGAACACACGGTGGCGCAGCGCGCTCAGATTTGGTCATGGTGGATGAGTTCAGGAGCCCTTCACACATTCACAGTATAATCCTTTACACTGTGTCATACATTTATATCAACTACATTACATCATGCAGTAGAAAGTAACACAGCAGCAGAGACAAACAACTTTTTTAAAACTAAATTTCACTAAATTTTTATGAAGACCATTGTAAATATAATACATTTTAATATATTAGAATGAATTAGATTTGATTTATATTGCGACAATTCATAACAGAAGTTGCATTTTGTCTAGACTGTACTGTACTTTTTAAAATTATTTACAGAGACCTAACAATTCCCACCATTAGCAAGCACTTGCAACAGTAACAAGAACAAGCAGAACCTAGAGTCAGGGTGGGTGGTTGACTGCCACGACTGGTTAGGTTGAGAGAGGGGGTGGAGACGGGTAAAGAAGTCGAGTTTGCATATATTAACATGCATTAATGGGATAAGAATGTATACAGATGAAGAGAGAGAGGAGTTCAGTGCATCCTGGAAAGTTCCCAGCAGTCTAGACCTAGGCTATAGCAACATAACTAAGGTGGAATGTTTCCGAGGAAAGTCAAAAGCACAGATTTGCAGCGGCCATTTCTTCATCCTAATATACATTGCATTTCCTTCGAACCACTACTGTCTTGTGCCATGTTGAAAATGTTTGCCCATCAAAATGTAGTGAAAGAGTGCTGAATGAATGAATATGTTCAGAATGTGAGAAGATGTAGCCAGCCCAAGTACACAGTGATTTTTGTTTGTGTATGTTCTCTTAATGTGACAGATGACAGTTGAGGCATTTTTTTCTCAGGTCGCTCACCAGGATTGTGTAAGTCTGAATTCTGCACAAAAACACACACACACTTTCACTGCACAGGAGTGTACAAGTGCATGTGTGTCTGCTGGCTTATTAGATAAAGAAACTTTTAAGAAACACAAACTACCCAGATGACCAGTGACCCTGAGATTAAGTGCAGTGTGTGTAAAAAAGTGGAGTGGCATTTCTTCACATTGTCTTGGAGTACACTTGACTTCCTCTGCTCTCTGCGGTGTCACGAATCACACATAAATAATAGTACTTTCACATCTTGTAAATAGTACTTATGCTTGGGTGGCTGCTGTGGGTGCGCCGATATCCTTTCAAAGCTGCAGTGACAATCCTTCTCACCACTTGTCTCCTCACATTTCATTTCCCTTTCATTTGGTTTCCCCTCCTCCTCTTCCTCCAGCCTTCCTTCTCCTCACACTGTCCCATCTGCTCTTCTCGGAAGTAATCATTTTGTTTGTACACACTCCCGCCCCTATCTTTGATGGTTGTGTGAACTTTGTGTGCTTGTGTGTACACATGGTTCTTCTCACAGTAACAGACAGCTTAATAAAGGTTGAAATATTCAACTCTCATAACCTGATTCAAGCTTTATTGGCCCTGTGTGAAAGATATAATGGAAACAGGTAATAACTCAAACACTGGAGTGGCTGCAGGAGGAGATTTCAGTGATTTCAGTGTGGGTGGGTGACAAGTCCCCTGTGGTGTTTGTGTATGTGTGCGTGGAAGAGTGAGCAATATGTATTACTGGAGGATGGGAGGGCTTGTGGTGTCAAGCTTTGTTCCCTCGGCTCTTGTCACAGTGTCGGGCCGAGTTATCATCAAGGCAGCTTTTGAGTTCCTCAGGCTGGGAATAGTAAAAGGCCAGTTTGTGAGTTTGTTCAAACTCCAGTGTCATCCACATGCCAGGGAAGAAGTGAGAGTTCATCAAATATGACAGCGTTTCAGCTAACTGTTTCCTATTCTCCCCCTCTAACATGTTAACGAGGAGCCATTTGTTTGTCAAGTAATGCGTGTTAACGGAGGGGATCTAATCTCTATCATCCCCTGAGTGTTAGTAGGAAGGAAGCATTTTGTTTGGTTTTAATGTGGCTGAGGAGAATTATTAAAGACTGACTAGTGTGTGGTGAAGTGTGCAAAAGCATTATCCTGTAAAGATCTGAGGACGTGATTAAATGGCATGCTCTTTTCCTTGTTGTGCCACTTTATCAGCTCGTTTTATCAACAGAAATCTTGTTTTTGTTTGTTTGTTTTTTTATTTTACCTTTATTTTACCAGGAAAGAAATCCATTGAGATTTTTAATCTCTTTTACAAGGATGTCCTGGCCAATGCATGGCTTTCAAAACAGTCTGTTTGGCGGTCTTGGAATACTAATATTCATGTTGGAGTCTCTTATTCCTGTATCCAGTTTTAAACAAAAACAGGTTTTAAACACATCTTGCACCTGTAACATTTAGTCAAATTATGATATGTTTAAATTTCATTGTGCTTTTATGTCTTTTTATCTGATACTTTGTTGTAAATAATTTAATAATACTGTTACTCTTATGAATAATGTTGCTGTACATGTAATGCCTTGTTTGCACCTTGCACTTTGTGCTCTTTCACATCTTGGCCAGGACATCTTTGTAAAAGAGATTAAAAATCTCAATGGATTTCTTTCCTGGTAAAATAAATGTTAAATAAATAAAATGTAAAATTTGGGATTAAGCCATGTTTTGTTTTTACTATTGTTATTTTATTTTCTCTCTCTCTTTTATTTTCCTTATGTTCTTATTTTATTGCATTATTTTTCCCTTAGTTGTTGGCCTTGTGAAACTTGGGTCGTGTTCTTGCAGGCATCGAACAGGCATCAAACAACTTCAATGTCACATCTATAAACACGCTGCATAATAGCTTGTTAGCAAAACTTAGTGTACATGCTGTGTCAATCTGTAGAACATACATTTTGAATCAGAATTCAGACACTTGAATAAAATAGCGGACAGTAAATACAGTGCACTATGTAGTAAACACAGCCACTGAGTGTGCCTTCCAGAGAAACCTCAAATATATAAATCAATTCTCAAACAAACAAAAAAAGTGACACACAATCACTTACCTGTTTCTGCAATCGGAGAGTTTACACCTCTCTTTGGGTGTTGTACAGTGTAGAATTGGGTAATTGTATTGTATAAACTGTATGTGAGCAACCTGCTGTTATAGTTTTTCTCAATTGCTTACACATGTTTTCTGAAAGCATGGCTCATTTTCTTGAAAGTCTAAACAGAAAAACAAAAAATCACACACAAAACTCCACAAATCTCTTGCAAAAGCAAACACTGCATGTTTTGTCTTCTCAAAATAAAATGTTGTCTTCAAATGACACACATACCATCAAATGAATAGACATTTCTAAGAACCAATTGAACACTTCTGTGCTCAGTGGGAGTAGTTTTTTTGCATTTTCAGTGTTACACTTCACACTCAAATATAAAACCCACAAATACTAGAATTGAATATTTTTTATTCTGAAATACTGTGTTCAAAACACAACTGGATTTGTAAAGTGTAGAACAAACAATAGAAAAAAGAAAATAAGCATTCTGCATGCACTGTAAAGAAAAAGAAAGTCTTCTGTTTCAGTGGGACTACAGCACCTCCTCAACATCGTAGGCAATGTCCTCCCTGGCCAAGCTGCAGGAGAAGTATCGCCTAGCATGGCAAATCCAGCCCTGAAAGCTTCTACAGCTCTAACTGCACATGCATCTTCCATAGTTTGCAGAAGAGGTATACACATATTCTCATAGAATTGGTTCAGGGGGGTTGTTAGATGAATTACAGTGGTAATCCTAACCCTACCCCTAACCCTTTTTCCCATTACTATAGGTGTGCTGTCTTATAGTCTAATATAATTTCGGGGAAAGCAAACACAATGAAACCCTTTCAGGAATTGAATTCAATGCACGAGAGGCACACTTGTTTCCTCTTCGGAACTCTTCTGCGCATTCTGTGTTTGGATAACAGTACAATTTATGGGGAAATGAGAGGGCAGTAGGTCTAAACAGCTTTACAACATCAACAGAAAAATCAATCCAAAGAGCAAATGTAACTGTAACGAGGTAACTTCGGAGAAAGAATCAATGCTTTCTTTCGTGAAAAACAACTTTAATTTGAACAAAATTTCTCTTCACATTCCAAAAAGAGGAGAAAGATATTTTTAGAAATACACACAGAATGAGACTTGTATTTTGAGTGCCTTTTCTCAGAGTCCTGTTCCCCTCACCGATCGCTTGCTGTCGTTCAATCTAAGTCCATGCCCTAGCACCAGCATTTGACCTTTCCCCAGAAGGCTGTTTTAATTACCAAGTGCCTTCCATTGCCTGCTAATTAAAACACTATGTCATATATTATTCAGCCATTCTCATTATCATTGCTCTAACATAAAACAAATGAGAAGTGTACACTTTTTCCTGTCACACGCCATCTAATCCACTCAACATATGTTTGATGGCTAATGAAAGCAGCTGATATTTTTCTAAGAGGAGGAAATGTTTGCTGAGGTTTTTAACCTTAATGAAATCCCTCTGAAGTTTTTTTCATTCTGGTAGCTATTGACCTTTGCTTGGAGTGTCAGTGACTAAGATTCAAAGGATGCTTTACCATTTTCAATCAAGCACCACTTAATAAAAATGTAAATTGATTTTCTGTTGCACAAATGCAGTCTGCAATGGAATTTTAAAGAGCAGCATTCATTGAAATCGCACCAAAGTAAATAATGTAGGAGTATGATAACCTTGAAAATTTAAATAATCACAACATATGTTTGTTATATAATTAGAGCATATCCAAAGGTAAACTATGTTATCTCCATGCAAAAAAAAAATATTTGAGCATGCATATCTTTCTAAATAAGGCGGGGGGTTAAGCTACAGCAGTCTTTTAAAAATAACTTTTCCTCATATTTGCTCAAACTGTCACTATATTCTCACATTAGTAAGTGAGACGGTAAATATGGCTTATCCTAAAGCTCCATGCACTGCTCCTAATGTCGTTTCCACAAATCCACTGCTCCCTGGTCAAAACAAGCAACCAGAGCCAGGAGTAGTCTCTATGTCAGTGTCAATCGCTGTTCGTGCAAACGCTGTGCAGTGACAAAGAGGCATGATGACAAACAGTGGAT